CACAAATAATTAACTTCATCTAAAAATAGTATTAAATAATTTACTCTTTCAATAGGATCTTATTCAAGAACTGCTCTATTTATATATAGTGGAAATAGACAACTAGACATTAATACTTTTTCAAGTGCTGATTTAGGTATCATAGCTTTGATAGGGAAAGAAATAGTTGTTAAATTTAAATTACCAGATAAAATTTGTTTACCAATTTATTTGATCAATTCTTTACCAATAGCTCTTAATGTTCTTATTAATTTTTTATTCTTGCATACTTTACCACCATCTTTATGTGCTAAAGTTGATCTAGATTCTTCTTTTGATTAAAGTGGTTTAAAATTAGAGACAGCCTTAAAAATTAACTCTTCAGTATTATCAATGTTATAATCATGTATTTCTTTAGCCCATTTATAGATTGCTGCATTCTTAGCTTCTTCCTCTGACATCTCTCTATCTTCTTCTTCTTCATCTTCTTCTTAAATCACTTCAGGTTGATCAGCAATCTCTTCTAGTTATGATTTATCATTTTCATTATTTTTAACTTCAGCTTATATTTATGGATAACTAACTATCACACTTAAATCTTCTTAAAAGTCTATTTTAATTTCCTCTTATTGTTAAGACTCCTTTTTCATATTTTATTATTTCTCAAGGAGACTTATAACAAAAAGAGTAAAAGGAGTTTTACCTACTACGAATGATGGACATATTGATGCTGTTACATTTTCATCTTATACTTAATATCCTATAGAATTTTTCTTTGGTCTTTCTTCTATTTCTAAACCTACTTCTTATTATTGATTAGTTCTACAGGATCTAATATTCAATTTTATAACTAAATAGTTTACCTATCTCCATGATAATTCTCATTATCTAACTGTTCTGATATCTCTTATTGTTTTTTATTTTCCATCTTTTTCTTAGATGATGAACAGCAAAACATTATTTTATTATATATTTATATTTTTTCACATTCTTGCTTAAATCTTGCAAATTTCAGTTTAATGTGATTTGACAATTTGATTAATAAGATATCAATTAGATTTAATTAATGAAAAAAATTACATTAAATATCTCACTCTATAAATGAGTAATAATTTAAATAATTAGACATGATTTCTAAAATCAAGTGACCATTAAAATTATTTCAGAATCACAAGAATACTTTAGAATCATATTTGTAAATTATTCTAGTATAATCATCCTCAAAATATTAATCTTAAATTCTTGTTTATAAACTTATTATGTAAAAAATTGAATTTAGTTGTACTATTTGTTTGAATCATTTAAGCGATCCTACCTGCTTATCTTGTGGACATACTTTTTGTGAAAAGTGTATCAATCATCATTTGAAATTGAATCATTCTTGTCCTCTATGTAGAAAACCCACTTTACCTGATTGGCCAATAAATGAAATGCTGAAAGAAGCCCTTATGATACTTTTTGAACAAGGACAAGAAGGTAACTTTTATATATCTATTTAAATCTTAGTTCTCCAAACAGAATTCCCATAAATAATATTATGTTTGGATTGTGGCCTTACTCCTATTAATCCTATAGTATTACCTTGTTAACACCTCTTCTGTCTTTAATGTTTTTAAAATGACTTGATCTAGCAATATTGTCCAGTTTGTCTTCAATAATGCATGGTTACAGATCCTAACATCAATATTCTTTTTAATCAACTTTTACAATGGTATTGTGAAACTGATGAAAAATTTGTTCTACAAAATTAGCATATACAATCATTACCCATATTTCTATTTGATAAACAAATTTGCTATAAAATGAATTTCTCTCTTAAAATTGTCGAAGATAGATATAAATAGCTAATAAAATTAGCTTCACATGGATCAGGCAAATTTCCTATTGTTCCCTTTACTGATAAATTACCTATCTATGCTGATATGGTAGAAATTGTTAGCATTACAGATCAAATATAAATTATTGGTTGCGATAGATTAATAATAGATGCAATTTATTGTTTTATAAACGATGAAAAAATACCATTCACTCCAAACACTTTTAAAGCATTACCAAATCAATTATGGTTATGCAATTATACTATTATCAAAGATAATATAGATAAATCAGCTATCTGGAATAAAATCAAATAATTTATTTAATATTCTTTTTCAGAATTGACTGAAGAAATGAAATCGTTGTTTGAAAAACCATATCATTTAATGAGTATTTTTGGAAACAAATTTCACTAAGTCAATTCTGGACTTATCATGATACAATTATTGAAGATTAATAATCATTAATTCTAAAAACTATATTATTCTAATGATGAATAATTCAGAAATTTATTCATCTGGAATTTTATTAATCAAATTTAATCTAAAATTATTAAAATTATCGGTTCTTAAACTCAAAATGCTAAAATAAAAAACCAAACCATGGATTAAGAAGTAGAACCACCTAATTTGCAATTTCATAACATTTACGAAGAAGATGATGAAGAATCTATTGAAGATTTCAATTAATCATTCTCAAATTTAACAATTACTCAACAAATCATTCTCAATCTCTTCCATCTTCATAAAGTACCATTGTTTTAGTGATTATATTTTTTACTTATCATCTGTTTATCATATACTAATATTCATATTAATAAAATATTTATTGAATAATAATTTTATACTTATCAATTTAATTATATTTAAAACCAGTTAAAAAAATTAAAGTGATATGTACTTTTAATCCTAGTTTCATCGTTTTCAGGGTAATTTTCATAATAAGTTTACAAGCCTTTCATCTATCCATTCTTATATTGACCTACACAATATATTTTTTGTCTTTGATTTGGATAATAAAAATATGTTTTGATACCTATTCCATCTGCTTTATTCATTGTAAAATTTCCTTATATTTTACAAACTTCTCCAGGAGTAAGTTAATTTTTATCTAAGATTTCAAGAGTACCTTAGTTTTTGAATTAAATTTCTTTAGATTAGTTGTATAAATCAATATCATATTAACCTGTATATGTGATATTCTTTTTGAAATTTGTAAAATCAATTTTTGAATCAGAAATTTTACTCTATTGAGTTAGTTCAAATATAAAATACTCAAAGGGTTCGAAATGCCTAGTAAATTTAAGAACTTAATATTATTTGCTAATTGTTTTCTAATATTATTTACTCTCAATTTCATGGATTATAACATTTTCTTTTATTAACTATATTGTTTAAATAATATTTAAAGAAAGATTTTTAATTTTAATTTGAATTTTATCTCCAGAATCGTTCACTTAATCAAATTAATAACCTTCTTCAAAATAATTTTATATTAAATAATATTTTAATATTCGTTTTTTCATATAGTTTGGTTTTTCAGGTAAATCTTCAAGCGCTTCTTATAATGTTGCAAAAAATTATTCTTGTATTATTTATTAAGAATTTTCTTAAATTGGTTATTGTTATTGTTCTTAAAGGGGTATGTTTTAAATTTATTCTTGATTTTACAATTGTATTACTAATTAGTTTTCATTTGTATTTTCATTTATTAATGGTTCTTATTAAAAATGTTATACATAGTTAGTTTAAAATTCCTATGGAGATGTATCATTAAATGGTATTTCTAATTAGTTTTCATATATATTTTCATTTAGTGTTGATGCTTATTTATAATGTTAATTATAATTTAATTCCAATGCCTNAAAACAATTAAAGTGATATGTACTTTTAATCCTAGTTTCAGCGTTTTCAGGGTATTTTTCATAATAAGTTTACAAGCCTTTCATCTATCCATTCTTATATTGACCTACACAATATATTTTTTGTCTTTGATTTGGATAATAAAAATATGTTTTGATACCTTTTCCATTTGCTTTATTCATTTTAAAATTTCCTTATATTTTACAAACTTCTCCAGGAGTAAGTTAATTTTTATCTAAGATTTCAAGAGTACCTTAGTTTTTGAATTAAATTTCTTTAGATTAGTTGTATAAATCAATATCATATTAACCTGTATATGTGATATTCTTTTTGAAATTTGTAAAATCAATTTTTGAATCAGAAATTTTACTCTATTGAGTTAGTTCAAATATAAAATACTCAAAGGGTTCGAACTTCCTAGGAAAATTAAGAACTTAAAATTATTTGCTAATTTTTTTCTAATATTATTTACTCTCAATTTCATGGATTATAACATTTTCATTTATTAACTATATTGTTTAAATAATATTTAAAGAAAGATTTTTAATTTTAATTTGAATTTTATCTCCAGAATCGTTCACTTAATCAAATTAATAACCTTCTTCAAAATAATTTTATATTAAATAATATTTTAATATTCGTTTTTTCATATAGTTTGGTTTTTCAGGTAAATCTTCAAGCACTTCTTATAATGTTGCAAAAAATTATTCTTGTATTATTTATTAAGAATTTTCTATGATTTATATTTATTCTTGATTTTACAATTGTATTACTAATTAGTTTTCATTTGTATTTTCATTTATTAATGGTTCTTATTTAAAATGTTATACATAGTTAGTTTAAAATTCCTATGGAGATGTATCATTAAATGGTATTTCTAATTAGTTTTCATATATATTTTCATTTAGTGTTGATGCTTATTTATAATGTTAATTATAATTTAATTCCAATGCCTATGGAGATTTATTATTTTATGGTAGTGTCGATGCTTATTTTAAATTTTAATTATAATTAAATTCAAATGTTTATGCAGATATATTATTTAATAATATTATTTCCTATTAATTTTCATTTATATTTTAATTTATTTATGATTCTTATTATAAATTTTAGATATTATTAAATTTGAAATTATCAACAGGTGTATTATCTATTGCTTAATAAAATTTTTCACATTTCGCTTTTAATTTATAATATTCTAATAATTTTTTAGTTTCCACTTCATCATAATATTTCATTAATTTAAAATCTTCTATCTTCTAATCTAAATAAATTAGAGCAATAACTTAATCTTCTATGTTAAGATCATTATCAAAATTTTAAATTTCCAATTTATCTAAATTTTTATAGATTTTTAATAGCTTATTAATCTTTTCTTTTAACTTTTTTTAAAAATTATCCGAAGAATTCTCTCTTATATTTTGAGACTTATGCATAAGATCTTTTTGACTTAAATAATATAAAAGATTTAAATCAAATTCATTATTATTATCTTATAAACAACCTTAAGCTTATTCATATATTTCCTTTTTCATTAATTTTGATTTATTAATTTTATATTTAAAAATTGATAATGTTCTAGGGAAATCAGGAGGTAATTAATTATAAATAGAAAACCTTTCTTTGAGTATTTCTTATATTATTGCAATGATTTTATCTGCTGAGCCAACTTCATCAGGTTTTAAGTTATCTTTAAAATGTTTTAAGTTAGATATCTATTCCATTTTATTAGCTGGTTTATTAAATTATATATAGTCTTTCACTTCTGTTCCAAATTAATAAGTATAAAATATTCCTAACATCATAACTCTTAATGCAAGTTGATCTTAACTTTGTGCTTCTTCTTCAGTTTTTTTTTTTAATTTATTTCCCTTTTCTAGTTATCCATATTACATTGCCTCTAATGAGTTACTATATAAATAAGGATATAATTCTTCTTTTTCCTTTTAGCTAATACTACTTCTCATCAAATTTAAACACTCTTTAAAAATAAATGGATTTTTATCAGATTCATTGTATCCAAAATCGGTGAGATATAATTAATTATTATCAAAAATGATATTAGATGGTTTAATATTGTTATGAATGATTCTATTATTTTTTTTTAAAAACTCTGATAATTGAATTAATTAATTAAAGATCTCAGATTTTTAATCATAAGTATTTAATTTTTATAATTCAGTATCTTATTAAGATTTATCCTTATCACGACAAAAATATAAATCTAATAATGATTTTGCATCTTCACTACAATTATAAATGATCGTAATTTATTTTTTATTTTTATCTACTCTATAATTATGAATTCCTAAGATATAATTCTTACACTCTTCTTATTTTGCTAATTCTTATTAATATTTTATTAACTATTCATATTTTTGTAAGCAATGTTTATCAAATACCTTGTCAAGTGAATTTTACAAGCCCCATACGTTTTTCAAAAATTCTTTTTGTCTATTATCTAGGCTAATCGTCACAATTTTTTATCTTTCTTTATTTGCAGCTTAATCATGTAGAATATTTTTACCTATCATTTTATATTTAATAATAATCTTTTTTTTTTTATTGAATAAATATTTAAATTTATTAGAATGTATTTTTTTCGATAAAATAATATATTTATTAATATATATATTTTTTTAATAATCTAATGAATAGGAATAGAGAGAAGATTGAAATTTATAGAATTAAAGACATAAGTGAATTATAAAAATAATATGTTAAAAATTGAAACAAAAATGAATAAAATTAGATTTTGAATATAAATTGAGTGAATAGAATGATAGTTATATATAGAGAAGAGTATAAAGTGATTAAAAAGTAGATTAAGAGAGATTAATATTTGAATTCGAAATAATTTTTATATAATAAAAAAAAAAAATCAATGGCTACAACAAAGGTAAAAAAGTAAAAAAGAGTTGAGGAAGTGGAG